GCACTCTTGAACAGTCATCGAGCGGCACTAAATCTAACCTCAACACTTGCATTGGTCCTCTTCCGAATCACACCACCTACAACTGTGGCTCCCCTATTTTCTGGTCTCTTTCATCGTCTCTCAACGCGCTGTATCCGCACAGTACCGATGCAGCTCGCGGTGCGAGACGCAAAAAATAAGCAAATTAATAATATTAAAAACTTATATTCTTGGAAATGTTAGTCCTTATCTATCAAATATCAATATTAATTTTTATGTGAGAAAACTGACTTGTAAATCAGGGAATAGCAATACATGATTAATTAAAAATTGCTCTCAAGAACACATTGCCTCATTTTTTCGCGTCGTCCCAAAGGGAGTTCTTGGACTCTCTTTTTTTGTTCACGATGCCACGATCTCTCTGCGGCTCTGACCGCGTCTCCACCCGACTTGCGAGGTCTGCGCACAAGAAGATTCTTTTTGCTCGATGCTGTTTTGGAATGTTGTCCGAAAGAGGCACTTTCCACGCCCTCGAGCTCTCTCGTACACGAAATGCATCTGTTTGGCGCGTTTTGATTATAGTAATAAGACCAATAATAAAATAACAATAATAATAATCATTATTGCGTAGTTAGGATTATTAGCATCACCCAGTAACCGGTAATTTAAGGACTTCGCCACCAAGGCCTTCTTTCATCGCCCCTTCGGGGGCGCCGCGGACGAGGGGGGGCGAGAAGTGCACGCGCGATGGCCTTGTTAACGTAGAGAGGAATCAATTAGTGAAATTGCAATTGAAGAGGTGCTCAGCACTGGAATTTTGATAGATCCTCTCCTCATTTCCTCTTCTCTGCACTTTTCCGGCTGCACTCAAACAAATGAGTGACTGCAGTTTTGCATAAGAGCATTAAACATGTTGGCAACCCTTATTTATGGAGAGACGTGCTTAGTTTGCCAATGTGTGACTTGCATGTGGCAGAAACTTGCTCGACAACTGTAAAAAAATACAAAGTTACTAATCATAATCGCACTATAAATTCACACTTTAGACTTCGCGCTCTGGCATTCCATCATCTGAGCAAACAAGGGACTTTTCTCTCATGCAATAAAGAGTGCAGTGAAACCACATTAAATCCAATAAAAAAGGAATCACCATGAATTACCATAAATCTAATCTGTGGGCCACCCTCGCGCCACAGAGACGCGCGCAAGAAGTGCAACAGAATCGCAATGCTCAACGAAAGTATATACAATCCGATGTGATGCAGCAACGACAACACTTAATAAATAATTCATTGCCATTTTTTCAGACTCTCTCGCTCACTCACTAAATTATTAATTGCGAAAGTTCCCATTGATGAACCCATTCCCGCGCACGCTCGATTCACTCAATGAATTTATCTCTTTCCATTTTTCTCCCGCCGTTAATGCGCCCAACGATGGTTGAAGATGAATTTGTGCAGATAAATAACAGCCAAGGAGGGAATCATTAAGATTTTTCGTTAATTTCAATTTCCCGAGTCACAGCATGAAGTCGCGCCCGCCGATGAAAATTCCCCATCAACACCTCTCAATTCTTCTCACAGGGTTGCCATACATATGCCAATGGAGCCAATGGGAATAATTAATAACTCTCCATCTCGCGAGATCTCATCCGTCGCCTTATTACGCCCGAAAAGGGGTGACCGATGGGCAAAAAAGCGTCAAAAGAAGATCATCCGTGAAGAGCTCGAGAGCCGCATAGTCTATTACAAATTATCAATTTATAATCGCGTGTTATTCATAACGTCCGATACAATGAAGTGAGAGGTGAGTTCCGTGAGGTGAGAGACACTCGAAGACAGTGGAGCTTCCTTTTCACTCTCAGATGGGCACAAAGAACTAATGACCATGACAAATGAACGCTACCACGGCTACTGTTTGCCATTGAGGAGTCGTGGCCAGCGGCTGCCCAGAAAACAGCAGGAATCTGCGCAATCTTCTATGCCCCCACGTTCTGGGCTGCCCTCTCGCTCTCTCACTCCGCTCCCCGGCCACATAAATCTCAATAATTGCTACACTTCTCCCACTTCCTCGATTGTTCGGACTGGGGAGATTGCATCAAAAAATCTGGTGAAGGACCAACCATCGAATCTTGACAAATGATGTTACGCTTTAACAGACATTTGATTAGCTTTTTGTGCTGTTTGCTTGGAGGAAGTCATGGAGATCTGGGCATTCTTCCATCATTCAACAACATGCGCTCTATCAATCGCTCAAGCAACCTTTGCCAGAATTTGGAGAAAAAGACTCTCGCGAACAGTGACTGTTCTAAACGTAATTTTGGTTGCTTTCCTTCAGTGAAAATCTTCGCAATTTCTTCCAGGTTTCTCTCAGCACAAAAGATTTGAATGTTTATCGCCATTAAAGGGTTCAGTTTTTGACATAAGCCATGCAAAAAGTCTTCTCAAATTATTTCGATATCAGAGTTGCCCTCGAGCTTCTGTTATTAAAATCTCATCACGAGAAGAGGGATAATGTGTCCCTTCAGGCCTTCTTCTAGCGCAGAACTTCACCCTTCGACGTTTTGACGGTGCGTCATTAAGTAACGCGGCCAGTTTATCTTCACGAATTGGCGAAGAAAGTGGAGAAACGAGGGACTTTTTGCCATTTTCCACGTAATTCTGCGGCAACAATAAAAGTCAACAATTAATCATTCCCTATTGCGCTCAATGTCCAAATTCGAGTTAATAAAATACCAGAATATGTGATATTAACAGTGGGACAAGTCGCGGTGTTTTTTCTAGACAGACACACTGTCGAGGAATTGTTATGGGAACAAATGCTAGAGAGTTAATTTATTAGTGGTGGGCGTGCTTCTTAATTCAATTATTTTTAATGGTCCCATGAATTGATGGTCCATCATTTGTTGCACAGCAGAGTTGAGACAAAAAGTGTTTCTTTTGAGGCTTCTTAGCAAAATGATTTAGACTGTTTTTTGGGCGCACACGCAGAAACTTCCTCATTGATTTTGCAGGGTATTAAAGGCAAAATCAAATTCTCTGATCATCAGTGGAGGTTTTTCTTGTGAATGTGAGACGGCGGTATTATATTGTCGAGTAATTAACAATTTAACCCTACACCAATTAGGACTAATAACAGACGAACGGTTCCATTGAAGGGTGGAATAAATCCAAAACGGCGATGCAATCAGTAAATATGAGACACCGCGTGTTATTTTCCATGTGATGGGATGAGACTCGTGATTATTTGTCTCGCTCACAAATTGGCTAGTTGATATGCAAAATAATAGGAGGAATTCGATCGCACACGAAACATAAATACACCCCATCGCGAATAATTCAATTTGAGGTATAGCGAAAAAAAATTGAGGCGCGACAGCGAATTGCGGAAATATTTGGGGAATTTAGAGAGGGTGAAGCATTTCCCCTAAATTGATATTTATTGAGTTTTGAAAGTCCACCAGGCATTGATTCCTTTCCTCTGGGCAATGGATATGAGGCAATCGTGAGTCAAGGGAATTGCTTGGTGACAGTGAGTCTCACACCCACTTTCCAACTATGCGCATAAATGAAAGGACACTGAAATGGAAGGCCGGACTCTTGGTGAGTGCGCGAATGATGTGAAATAGAGAATAGAAATAGAAATTTCATTAAGAGATCAAGTTCACATCAATTTAACATTAACACTTTTGGTCTCTGCACGCCGGAGAGCCTTGAAAAGTTAATTAATCACATTAACTCCTTCTTGCGCGCCCAGAAAGACGTCGTACACACACAGTCTTGGTTCGGGGGCTCCGGAAGGGCGCAGCTCCTGAAGGCATAGACGCGCACAATGCATTATGTTGGGCAAAGAAGGCGAACTCATGCTTGTCATATTTATAGCATGAGTGAGTGGCGCAAAAAGTGCGCGACTAGCCGTTATTAAGTATTGAAGAAACCCACCAACATGTGCAGAGTGGAAGTTGATGGTGAATTTTGTGTTTGAAAAATGTAAAAATGAATATGAAACTAACAATGTGGAATTCAATGCTATGGATGGACAGATATCAACGGCCAGACACGCAATGTTTGACGCCAATGAGATAGAATGCCCCCTTCGAGACTCCTGCCTTCTCTCTAATGCTTGAAATGTTCTCAAAATTGTGTTTTGTTCAATTTCACAAGTACTGTCAAGGTGGGGGAAAGGAAAAGGAAGGCAAAGTGAGTCTCACGAGTATCAATTGAGAGTTGAAATCTTTTCCGTTTCAATGGAGAACAACCTGGAAATTAGGAACTGGGATTTCAAATCATCGCTTTTCCTCGGGATCTAAATGTCCAATTTTAATGATCTTAGGCTCTTTGGAAAGGTGCATTAATCCCTCACAACACTTTAAGTTCATTTGACTAACGGAAAAGGCACAGAATCCGAATACAAGACTCTCATAATTGCGATGTCAAATTAACTTCAGTTCAGTTTTAAATCAAATCTATTCCACCCCGAATTGGTCATAGAAACTCCAGTTCCACATATTTTTCCATAATTGATGGCGAATGTTGGACAAAAAAGTTTGTCATCAGAGTGACGGGGAAGTTTCTATTCCTGCTAGGCAGATAATGAACCGAAACAAAAAGTGTCCGACCACAGAAGTGAATGAATTTTCCATTAAGCCATATCCTGAGGAGCATTTCGAAATGAATCCAGCGACAACAAACTCGATAAATAATTGAATTGTAACACTTTTGTATAGAGACTGATAGAACTTCACGAGTGCGGCTCAGCCATTTCGCCGAGCCTCTTTAATAAAACACACAGTTTAAAGGGGGTCTCCTGTCTGCCCATAACCCACCCCCTGGACACCCCTATCGATTTGAGGGCTGGCAAAGTGCATGCCGGAGAGTTGCATTAAATGAAAACTTCAAGATGTCATGTTATGTTGTGCCGCACTTCCTCAATTTATCTGCCACCGCGTTTGGGGCCACTATTATGTCGATAGTGATTTATCGTGATCCGAGGGTATCTTTTGTGATGTCTTTCTGACTTACCTGTGTCTGCGTTAAGCCCAAACTCGCGGCCAATTCCGCCCTCTCGGGCAGTGCTAAATACTGTGTTCGCTGAAATCGTCGATTCAACTGTTGCAACTGCAGAGAACTGTATATTGTTCGTGGCTTCCGCATCTTCTTCCCCTTTCCATTTACCCGTAATCCAGAATCTTCACATTTATCTGCAAGACAGAGAGAGAGAGAGCGAGTGAAAGATTTGATTTGAGTCGCGCGCCACTGAATGGCGATCAAATTACAATAAAACACTCCAATTAGGGACTTTATCGACTCAGTGGAACCCCTTGAAAGTAACAGAAACCCCGCCAAATTCGACACATATGCTCTGCGGTCAATTACCAATTTGTCTGACAAGGGAAATAGGAGGAAAATCCCAGGGGAAAGCACACACTCTTTTCTCTATATTCAATCAAGTGCTATTTGTATATTCTTTTCACATTCAATCACTCCATGTTTTCGTGTATTGATAGTTTCGGAAAACATGCCAATAAACGTGCTGTTAGGCATCGAAGTCGGGAAGATTAGCTCAGGAGAGTGTACACTATAATTAGTGTTTTCGCGGAAAAGTACGGAAGAACGCTTTTAGATTAGCAAAGCAGAGCATATAAAAATCAAGTGTTTTAACCCTGATGCAATTGCTGAATAAAACCATAAGTTCTTTGCGTTTTGAAAATACCACGAAAGGATGCGTGAAAATAAATTACACTGCGAAATCTAAGAATCCAGAAAGTCAAATGTATTTTGCACTACATAATGTGTAGATATCAACAGATTTTTCTGAGTGTTGATGTTTAGCACTTAACTATGATTTCTACAAATGTTCTAATGTCGTTAGGCGAATATTGTTTACAAAAAAAATTAACAAAAACCGCGTGTTTCTCAGAAATATTACACTTTCTGCACTGTGATTTTAGGAATTTGCATTTTGTCAGTTGAATCCGGCTCTACACGAAAACAATCCAGATGAACGTACATCATTTTCGTGGAATCTCCTCCCCTTGTCTGGCTGTCTGATCACAATCTCGCGATGTTTGACGGTGAAATTTGCCACATATTTTCCCCGAAAGACCTTGCCATGCAACATAACGTGAAAGAATGGGTGTTGCAGCTCTTGTGGGCAATTTTTGCTAATAGAATAAGTAGTTTGATGGGCTTGTGATTGCTATCGGTGATAAACTGCGTGACTTATTGAACACTAAACTAACCCATAAACCACACACACGGCAAATATTGGAGCGCAGAATTGATGGACAGGATTATCCAATGCTGAATTGGCAACGATATAAAAATGGAAATCTGCATATGAGTTATTTGTAGCTGTTTAGCAGTAGCAAAACAACCTTTCCCCAAATTAACACGAATCGTAGCCAAACGGAACATATGTTGCACCGATGAATTGCGTGCCACAGTCAATAACTGAATTCATTTCATATTATTTTTACACCAATTTGATTTTAAGCTCTAAATTTAATTTCATGCAACGCCACCAGACACATTGCGATTAATTCAATTTTACCCATTGTGTGGGTGGCGTCGCTTCAGCCCTTCACGCTCTGCAGCACCCCTGAATGGCACTCCCACGGCCCACAAGTGTGGGTTCTAGTGCCATTTTCGGCATGCAATTAAATTTCACTTAAGCTATGCTATCATTGATAGGCAGTGGCATAAAAAGCGTCGGAAGATTGAGCACATTAGAGAAGATACATATTGGCAGGCAGCAGTGTAAGAAAGGCAATAAAACACGCGACAAAAGTTAACAATTGACTAATTAATGCGATTAAATTACAATTCTTTTTACTTGATTCACTCACTGCATTCATTCATTCGCTCAAAACGACCACCGATCACATTTAATTACTTAAACAGTTCATTCACGTAAGCATTTATTTTTATATTTATTATATATTGTGGTTAATTTTATTGTACACCTTATGTGCAATCTTCTCTCTCTCGTTTCATTCGTGATTTGATGCTTGAGAAATTGAGATACGATGTATTTTAGACGCTTCGATATTGTCAAATTCGTGGAAGTCAGCTAAACGCAATAGTTCAGATTCAGTTCTTAAGCTTGTTTAGGACTAGGAAGTACTTGAGCGTTACTTTCAGGGTTTTCCTCTTTCCTATGATTGTTGTAATGGCTCAAACAAGTGTCAAACAAAGATCACTTGAGTGCTCAGAATAATGTTTTTGTAATTTCGGATTATTTTAGTTACAACAATTGTTTAGATAATACACAAATGTGGATTAAATTTATATACGATTTTGATAAAGCTGCTTTCAAATGCAAGAACTAAAGTCATAAGGAAGCAATCTGAGAGGCGATTGCCCTGCAGACGATCGACTTACTATTTTCCGCAAGAGCGTAAAATTATGCTGATGATATTTACTCAACTTCCCAAGTCATTTTAAGCGGTGTCAAAGTGATAAGAGATGCATGCCACTTGATTAATTGCCATCCGAAAACGTCCAGGAATGTGTGTTTTCGAGGCGGAGTGATTTATTCACTCCACTTGCAAACTACCATGCTAATGAGTCTTACCGTCTTTGGGTGGACTGGCACAGGGCGGCGCATAACTGCCGAGATGGTAGCCAGAGTAGGAATTTTGATGCATTGGCGGAAATGGATATCCTAAAGCACTACGTGGACTGGGGAAGCCGGAGTCTTGACCACCCTGAGCTCCAAAGTGTTGGTAACCACCCCGAATGGCACCGTACCTGCAACGACAAGAACACATGAACGCAAACCGTCGGGCCGGAGGGCGACATAACTCATGCTCATGTGAAGTATGTTGGAAAAGTCCTGTCATTTACATATTATAACAAAATCCCCATGAAATGCATGTCTCGCCCCGAAAGAATTTTTACAAAACTATTTTGCAATGCTGCGTTCGGCGACAATTTCAATTCCATCGCGGTGCGCTTTTGTCCCCTCAGCTTCGGAAGTATTCAACATAAATGTGGAATGTCAATAAATTTCAGCGTGTCACAGTGAGTTTGCCTATGCCTGAATTGGATATTCGCAACTTTGTTTACTCTAAATCAATCATATCGCCATTCTACGTGCACTCCGGTTGCATCACCCTCCCATTCTTCCGTGGACAAATGGCAGTCCGCTTATCTGGGAACGAGATCTATAACTCTTGGTGCGCGCACATGGAAATCGCAGCTTCCAGTCCATGTGGCTAAGAGGCATCTGATAAGGGAATATGGCCAGCGGAAGACTCGTAAATTACCATCACTCGATAACCGATGCTTCACCTCAACTGTCTCATTGGCTGATTGATTTTACCATATTTAGTAAAATACTTCTTTCGTTACTCTTGCGCAATGACCATTTCGCTTTTGGTTCGATTATAGTCCGAGTATTTTGTGAATTTAGAAATTCTATTTCATATAAAATAAAATGAGTTTTTTTCGAATCTTCGAAGTTATTTTACGTCTATTCGATGTACACGATCATAATCTTTTTCGATATATTTCTAAATAGCTTCAATAAGTTCTTTTATTGCAAAAACTGATTTCTAAGCAAATAATGTTCTTTGGACGACTTATACTCATCACTCAAATTCCTAATTTTCTGTTAGAATTGACTAGTTTCATTTTGAAAAACTCACAGATATCAGAAGTGGGATTACAATTGAGAAAATCCTGATTCAATTTTATACATTTGTTCTTGTAGTATTTTAACAAAAGAGATTTGGCATTCCGCATAACAATAAAATGACAAATTCATAACTCATATAATCAATAACTTCTGTTTTTCATCAGATAAGGTACGAATATGATTCGATGTATGGTATCAACCTCTGGTCTAAGACAAACTCACTGATCTCGCTTAAACTCGAAATTTTTCAACTTTTTACTGATCCCAACGTTCAAACAATGCTATCCTCATCACTCAGGTTTGACACTAACCCGTGTTGTTGTAGTTCGACGAAGGCCGACTTCCCTGGCGCCGTCGCCGCACCCCCATCGATGTACTTTGGGGTGTGCGGGGCGTCCGGCGCATCCATGCCCGACTGAGGGGTGCTCGGGGGGCCCTCGTAAGGGCTCCCCAGGTCTGTGAAATTGAGCGTGTTGGCGCCTATAGAGGCCACTTTTCACAAGTACACGGACGCCGTCGCTGCACGAAAAGCGGCCACCGGACGACACCAGCCTGAGGGCAGATCCTGCTGGGTAGTCACACTCCCGGCACTGATCACAGTTTTCACACACCGGAAGGTTTGAGCTTGTCTCTCTCAGCGTTAGTATTCAATTATCGAGACTTTCTGTCTTCTGGACACTCTTTAATTTCTCAATCACGTGGCATTTTTCTTGTCTCCTTATTAAAAAAAAAAACCGAAAAATACGCTGTGTGAACGCACTTCACTTTGAGAGCAAGACCGACGGCTATTGCAACACTCTGCAAATTCTTAGCCACTTGGCAACGATCACAGTAAATTGATTCAGTGTCACTCGGCAGTCATTAAATTTTAAATTAATTGCTGATCATAAATTACTGAGACAGCTCGGAGATGAATCACAGGTACTCCGAAACCGAGTGTCTCACTCTCCTGACACTTTATCCAAAAAAAAACTTTGGGCAGCCACTTCACTTATCAGCCAGCACACGCGTGTCCGCCGGTTTGCATTGAGAGTCCGAAATTTTCCGGAATAATTTCACTGATTAGCCAAGAGCTGTTGTGAGATGTAAGTGTGCACGGGAAATTTTCCGGGGCGCCGAAAAAGTGATCCAAAAATTCCGAAGGGGTTTCAATTTGTGTGAAAGAGTGAGATAAATTGAGAGAATCGCACGAAAAATGAGAGAGGAGGTTATGTGAACGCACTACAATTGTCACTAATTGTCGCAAAAACTGTCCAAATTACATATCTTCACCCATAATCATATAATCGGACCGATTTGAACGAGTTAAGATTTTAATTCTATACAATTGTGGAGTCTCCTCTGTGTATTATATGTGTAGGGAGCACATAAGGTTTAAATTGTGCACCTACAACGCCAAATTATCACTGAAGAACCCAGTAATACGTTGCGCGACCAACCACGAACAAAGTGCGTGAAAGACTAGTGACGGTGATCAGTCTACACACCACAGTCCTTTCCATCTGGATTGTTGTGGCGTTGAGCAGGGCTTAAACCCCACCCATGAGTCACGTTCATTGGCTGAACAACAGCAACAAGGCGGGAATTCATGGCTTTCGTGTCTCTTTCGCGTCAAAAGACGTAGATTATCAGATTCAAAAAAATTTTATAAATCGCTTTATAATTTTGACACTTTTCAGAAAAATTCCGGAACGATGTAACTTCTGAGGCGCTGTCCAAAATTTTTCCGGACACTGAACAAAATCACCTTCAACTACGCCACTGTCGCATGAGGCGTGCGAGAATCAAATCCCGCCTCGACAATGTTCATGAATGACTCTCCAGATGCATCAACTATACCTGATGCATTCGTGGAAAATCAAGCAGACACGATAGAGTCGTGAGTTGTGTCAAGCGAGGTCATCCGGGAAAATCCATTCGCCACGATTTCCGTCAAGGCATCCCAGCGATTGCATCTCGCGAATTGGGCAATACTCACAGTGTCAGTTTATCACCTTCTGCTGTAGTGCTCTAGTTTTTCGGTGTCAAATTCCACAGAAAAAAGTTAATTGAAAAATATCTCTTCACCTAATTACTGCAATTTTCTTACCAATAAAGCTTTCAAAATTTTCAATTTCGTCTTTTAATGAAGCGGGATCCGCTTTTCTGGTTCGATTTCCAAAATATGTATGTACCTGATGGACCCTGCAACATCTCTGAAAATTCATAATTACCCCCACACGCAGTTTGAAAACATTAACGAAAATTGGTGTAATATCCGGAAACTGAAAACGCAATAGAAGCACTCAATTGCGAGCAACTGTTTCCCAAAAAACCTCATCATCCCCGGGATTGGGTCAATGTTCTGGGGTCTGTAATTGTCCGAATTATCTCAATTTTGGTCAAATTATTCCACGTATTTACTCAATTGCCTCCGTCACTGACCTTTTGACCCGCCAGGAGCACGCGGGTGGACAAATTGCTCACCACGGATTGCATGAGACGCCGTGTTTACACGTCGTTAAATATTAAGCCGCTCAAGTGTATTGTTCAAGGCGCTAATGCCACTAATCAGGATCCAATAAATTATACCTGTATCTTAAGTTGTAAACCCCTCGATTGACCGAGTTTTTGGCACTGTTTGCACACTGAAAAAGAATATCGCGTCTGATAAACAATGCCTCATCTTGAGTATCGCGCGAGACATTTTAAGTGCCACTTTTGCAGTGGCATAATTGATGTATCTGTCAGCGAAGGTACATATATTCAAATTCACATGAGTTTTTGGCCTGGCAAAGTAAACTGACAAAAGTTTGATTAACTGGTGAGAAACGGCGGGACGCCACAGAAAGCATCTTCTGAATGAATGAGAAAACTTGTGTGGATGAATAGTGAAAATGTGAATGAGCCAAAATGGTAATTACAATAATTATGGGAATATTGGTGGCTGACAACTTCCTAAAAATCTCAATATATTTTTGAGAAGTGCGAGAAAGAGAGAAAAAGAAATCATCCTCAGAAGTTGAAGCACAGCAAAAAAGGTGGAAATATTGAATCTAATAAATCAGGGAGAGACTTCTTCACCGGATGGAGTTGAAAGCGTATCATATCATCAGTTCGGCCGGCTCATTCACATTTATTGGGCGCCCCGCGGAGAAGCGGCACTTTGCCCATCGAGACCGCGGGAGTGTTAAGACAAAACTTCCATCAAATTGAGCCAGGCAGACCGCCGAGATCTGCGCTAATTAAAAATCACCGCGTGGCTCTCTATGGTCACGGTAGTACAACAGGGAGATGAAGGATTCACGGGAGGGCTCGCATCACCCTCGGACAACCGGGAAGTACAACAAATGCCATGTCTCTCACTATGGATGATGAGTAGGGGTGCCGCTGAACAGGTTCATCAGCAACCATCGTACAGTGTGCGACATTCAATAAAGTACAGGCTGAAAGTATCTTTTGCTATATCCATTCAGTGTGATGGTTTGACTTATGGTTTGATACGATCGATCTTAGAGTACAAAAAGAAGTTTTTTACAATAATTTTTTTTCTCAATTGTGTTCAATAACTTGGCATGGTTAGTCTATACTTCACCTGGCTTGCATCTCCGACTGAGAATCTGTTACTAATCTTTTCTACTGTCATTTTTCACTTAAATAAACACAGAGTTTGAATTTTTTTTTGTCCGCCTGTTTCCATATTTTTAATATGGTTTGCTAAAAATTAGGCCCAAATAAATGTTCGTCAACTGTGGAGAACAGACCAAAGGTCTTCTAGATGCAAAATTACCATATTTAACTAGTACTTTTTTCATCTGTTCTTCAGCAAATGTTCAGTACTGTATGATAGAACAACACTATAATAGAAAAAGCAACATTGTCAGATGAGCGCCAGATCTGCTGATATAGAAAACAGATTGTGTCTTTATCCAACACATAATCCTCATTTTAACATAATCTTTGACTCTTTAAGTGCTTATCAGCAGTTCATAAAACTAATTGTGTGTTAAACAGTTGAAACTCGCCGCACGTTCGGCTTTATGTAATAATCGCCAGACGCGATTCTTGAATCCCTAATGAGGTGAGATGCAGAGAAATGAATTATGAATTAGGAAGCAACATTTGAGGGTCCAATTCTGAGAAGAGGCATGCCTAATGAAAGGGAGGCACAGCACAACTCCTCTTTCTCTCTGTTGGAACCATTTTCGCGAATCGCGCGCTGGGATATTTCGCTTGTCTCAGACCCTTCTGCCTCCGTGATCGCATTGGGGAACTAGAGGAGTCGCTACTACATGTTCTTTTGTGGCCGCGGCCGCGGGCGAAATGTGGAGATCTTTTATTCAAATTTCTGTTGAAACACATGATGCCCTCGGCTGATTGACTAGTCTCTCCACAGTGCGGGGCTGCGCGTTTTCCTGCCAGGGCGGCCCGCGGCTCCACCAGTGAATCTACATATCCCTCCGCCCCATGGAGTCACTTTTTTCCAGTCACACAGGCCGGTGTGCAAGAGCCTTTCCGATCGCGTGTTGTCTAGCTCTGGGCCTCAACCACTGACTTGTCGTTTTTTGTTCTCTCCTCACCTCACCATTATCTTGTTTTATCGTCCTATGGCCAAAATACAAGGCAGAGAGAGACTGGGTTGTGGTCGGCGGAAAAGTGAGTTGCCTCTGAGCTGAAACCTTCCTCATCCTGTTCTTTGCCATAAGAAGTCACCAATTTCTCAGCTAACCTTCATTATATCGTGAACGTGAGGGTTTTTTCTTCTTCCTGAGCTCCTCTTCTCTTCCCTCGTCTCTGTACTTTCTGTTATTTCTTTCAAATGGAGTGCCTGCACTTTACGAAGGTGACCAGCACCAGGCCATCAAGCATTCTTCCCGCGCCAGTCGATTCTCCAATTGCAATATCAAGTGGACAGTTGGAGAAGGTGGCAGAAAAAATCGAGGCAAAGAGCCAAGTCACGCTGAGCATCCCTGATGGCGAATCGATAAAAAGAAATCAGTGAGAATTTCCACTGTGAGAACCTCAGCATCCCCTAGGCCCATGGTGAAGGCTTCAGTAAAAAACGACGCGCGTATTTCATCAGATGCCCGTGCGAAAAGGCGAAGAGTAATTAAAAGACGAGAGATTCTTATTAACTCGCCAGAGTCGGCCAAAAATGAATATCTCTCCCTGTCTGAGGCAAAGAGGCTGATTTTGAAAACAAATAAGAAGATTTAAGCACTCATCTTCGCGCGGGCTGAACGTCAATATTTCTCCTTTTATTGCCCCATCTCGCGTGTAATGCACTGGGAGAGAGCAATACCAGAATATCGCCCCATTTGACCTCAACTCTTCAGCAAAATCCACACATCGCGAAATCTCTCAGCGCTGCCGTTACTTTTCAAATTGGCGGTGGATGAAAGAGCTCTTCTATGCGGGGCCCCCCACTTGGGCTCGCGCTACCCTTGGCCAAAAATTTTACAATAAGTCGCCGGTGTTACGTAATTGCGGCACGGCTGTAAAAGTGACGGATCGGGCTGACGATGGTATCTTTTTGGGAAAACGTGTTGTACATTTCAAACATTGCCACACATATAAAAGTGGTCTCTAGATGGACGATAGTCATGCAAAGAGTCGGAATATGAATGCTGCCCACCACAAACAACAATACTCACTCCGCGAGCGGCCACTCCTTCCACCCACCCACCCGCCGAGATATATGGCGCTTTTCCAACCTTAAATAAACCGAGTGACTCCGGCCGGACAGGCAACAACCGTGGAAATTCGGACATCGGAAGTCATATTTCATGCCATATTCGTGCTTTTTCCACTGCGGAGAATTTCCAACCGTGAGAAGGATATTGCAGAGAATCCTTTCGTTTGACTTGGTATTAAAGGGCTTCAATATCTTTAAGAGAATATAACAGAAAATTATTTCACAATGCTCAAAGGGAGAGCAAGGCAGCTCAACACGAAGTCATATCAAATACCGATGTGCAGTGCATTACAGATAAAAGATAAAACAAATGAGAAAATATTGCATTAATGGGTTGATTAGTTGCTATCTTATTGGATAATTCGGGGATGATTCAACACTATGGATCTGAAAAGGATTTATTTAACCAACTTTTCAAGCATTTATGGGTTAGATTTATTTTTATTTTCACGCCACGAATTAAATTTACAATCACTTGCTCAAAACATTTTTGGTCCTTCTTATCTGAATGAAAAATGCCCAAAGCTGAATATATTTTTCGCTGGATTTTTTTTCTCTAAGAATAATTCTTTCTTTCTTTAACTGATTCTCATAGAAGAATCTGTGGCACTTCCTGTGTTTCCTTTCTCCAGTCCAGAATAGACCAGGCAATAAAGCCCTAGTTGCTCACATTTTGGGGATTATAAGATAAAATGAATGTAATCAAATTATGGCTATTATGGTTTATTACAATGAAAACTATTACATGTGTATAAATCCGGGAGCCAAAAACCTGGAACTAAT